CAATTGAGAAATAAATATCATTTAAAGAAAACTTTTTGTTTCCTCAGAAACAAGATAAAGTGAAGGAAATAATAGGACGAATGTTCTGAAAGTTGGAAAGTGAACAGAAGATTACAATCTAAATAGCTGTCCTGTTGTAATACTAGCCTATTTGGTTTCTTTAGTGATGTGATTCCCCATATTACACTCTTAGTTACAGAAAAAACACCAGAGGGGACTTCAGTGAAATCCCACTCCTCCCTTAGAGATGGAGATCTACATTTGTACAGCTCAAAGATGGCCTTTGGTCTACCTCAGTAAATGCCACCCTATGGCTCTTATAAATATTCAACACTGAAGACAGGTCTACTTAAAGGGGGCTGAGGAACAGGGAGAAGTGAGGGGTGTGGAGTGCTATTAAATTCCTATAAACTTAACAGTGACCACTGGTTGCTCTTATGAATTAAACATGCATATCAGAACAACAGCAATTTTCTAAAATGTAACTTCAAATATTAAAAAAATCAAGAGTTAATATTTCTTGCCTATAGATTTGCAGGATATATCTGGGTTTTTCTACCATTTAAAAGAATCTGTCTTCACCTAAAGAATAATGGTTTTAAGAAGCTATGTAAATTTATAAAAATAAATAAATAAAATAAATAAAAACAACCCCCCCAAAAAAGTAGAAATAGAACATGCATTTATTACAAATTATAAAGTATTAATCATAGTACTGTTGTATAAACACTAGCTAAAAAAAATTATGACTTTAGAATATTTATTCTTCCTCAATCTGACCAAAGGACAGACATTTTGCAGTTAATCAAACAAAACCCACAATAAAGAAATATTTTTATAGAGACAAATATTTCTGCTGAAGGTGATTCTGTTTACTGCATTCAAATACATTATAGTTTTATTTCCAACGATGACAAAAGTTTGCAAATCCCTATTTCTTTTCCTTTCATTGCAACTTTAATTTTGAGATTGACAGCTTATAAGCTACGTCACTTTATTTGTCTAACTAAAACCTAATTTTCCCAGTTTTCTTTGTTTTTAGGAAATGTAATAGGACCATAAGATGAAAATCCAGATATCTATTTTTTTCAGAAACATTTATTCTTCTGAATTTTATTTTTAAAGAATCACCTACTTTGACTATACCATTTAAAATACACCAACTCAGGTATGATTTTGGCATTTCCTTGCAACCCTTGCCTACTATGAAAGGAATGAGAAAACTATTAGCAAAAGTGCAAACCAACAGTAAGAAGAAGTTTAATATATTGCCACCTTTAATTGCAATGCACCCTTATTTTGTATTTCCATGTAATTAGCAGTATTTCTGAAAGATGGGTTATATGACCCACTAATTCCACCACACAGAAGAGGTGTTCACTAAATATCCATACTGACCTAATAGGACTTTTACAATAATAATCAATCTGAAAACATTAATATATCAATATATAACAAGACTTGCCTACGATCTGCTGATACAAATATCTACTTCCACTCTCAAAAGGAATAAGAGACTAGACTGTAATCAAATAACAACTCTGTTCAGTATGTTTATAAATAATCTCATGAACTACTGCTTTATAGAATAGTTCCTGAGAGAAAAAAAAAAAAAAAAAAAAAAAAAAACCCCACCCACAAGATTTGTATTTTATCAACAGAAAATAGGCCACCGAAATATCATTATACAACACGGATGATAGTTTATCTTCTGTGTTTCCTCCCTCCACAGATTTTCATCATTAAGAAATGAAATTGTTCCCAGGAATCAAAAGGTTTATGATATGGGAAGCAGCTCACATATGAACCCTACTCAGCATATCTCATGGGAATAATATCAATATCTCAGCACAGAAAATATTGACTGGTGTATTGCATATCTTGAGGACCAGTGTCTATAAATTTCAAATATTTCAATCCTATTCCTTGAACAGTAATCTCATCTATTTTAATGTTTTTCTAAGGTAACAGAAAGGCCACAGTCTCCAGAAAAGAAGAAAGGTCTTAATTTTATGCTTTCAAATTCGGTGAAAAAATGAGTATCTGGCTAAAACCACAGGAGTTTAAAACATTTTGGAAAATCAACAGTTAAACTAGTCCCTGTACTAATTAGAAATGAGCAATAATTTATAAAGATTCATAATTAGACACACCTTAGCCAAATCAGCCTTATGACAGATGCATGTCAATCAGTGACTACTTAGAAATAGAATTTTCTTAAATTTCCTTAATAGCTGTACCAAAAAAAAATGAAAAGAAAGCACAGAGAATTAGAATGCACTCAGCAGTGCATTCACAGTACTAGTAGCCAAATAAGGTCCTTTTCAATAGGGGAATGCAGCAATATACATACCTAGTATCATATAAATTTACTGAAATTGATCCACTTTTCCTTCCATTTGTCCATCATCTGGATTTTTAATTACCAGCAACAGCTATAAGGAAATCCACCTTCTCACAAACGACAAGCCAATGAACCAACAGACAGCTATATAACAGAGCCTTCAGAACTCCTTAATCTTTTCCCCCCCACTTTATTCACTAGGGTTTAGACAGTCAAAAGGTAAACAAACAAAAAAAAAACAAACCAAAACCTTTAAAACCAAGCAACAGTCATATCAGTATGACTTAGAAAAATCACCACAGGACTCCTCCTAGAAACCTTATCGATACCCTCCCTCTCCAATAACCACACCCACCCTGTGTTTATGTTATTTGGATGGCTTTAATACAAGATATGAAAAAGGCACTAACATAGACTTACATTGTTAAACTTGGCACAGGGCCGCTAATATTCCAATCTTTAGACCTCCTTAACTGTCTGTGTTGGAAAAAATGATACAGCTTCAGAACTACAAAGAGCAAGTTACTTTGGTCTTTTTTCTTAACTGCAGGATACCCACATCCTGGTATTAGTACACAGTAGCATGCTATGAGTATTAATCACAGTACTTGTGGACAGCTGCTTAAGCTAACACGCTTCTCTAATACTTTGTATTTTTTTCACCTCTTGCTGCTACTACGCAGGGTAACATTTCCTCCTAGAGTCCTTTCACAGAATATCTGGATTCTAGAACAGTAACAAAAGATCTGATACCTGTTATAGTACCAAACCACGCTGTTTCTATGTAGCTGATCACACCTTGTGGTGCTCAGCCTATGTAGGTGTTATTCCTACTCTCTGAAGAAGGAATTCAGAGCAGTGAAAACAGTTTTCAGGGATATTCTGTTTACCCAAAATGAATAGTATCACTGTTCTGATTCACATATATTAGCTACTGTCAAAAACACTACTTTTCAAGAAAAATAAGGAGGTGGCACAGTAGCTGAGGAGTCAATCATTTTAAGTGCTGATCTGGAGAAAAAATCTCAAATCCCATTTTGACTGGGATATTTACATGTATACATATAGTAGGAGTAGGAACATACTGACATTAATGCACTCCTCTGTGTGGCCCATTATATAGCAAGGTAGACCACATAGCAGCTCCAACTCCACAATGAAACACTTCCTGGAAAGGGTGTAGCCTCTAATGGAACTGCTGGTGCTTGATTGCATACAGGAGGAACAGAGACCATCTCTTTTAATTTTAGGCTTTTTGCTGGAAGGTAGAAGCTCAGGAAAGCATATCCTTTTATTCTACCTCCTAGCACTTTTGCTTTTTTTTTTTTTTTATTGTCATGTGGAGGCAGCTGTTGTAGTTCTGAATGGTAAGTTAAATGCTATATCATTATTTTAAGGCATACACATAGGTTTGAGGTAAAGTCTTACTCATATTTTACGTTGTAGATCTGTCGATTCCAGATGTGTCACTGTAAAAAGTGGGGTAAGCCTTCTGTAAGCCTTCATTGTGCTTATGTTTTACAGGTTACGGCTTACCTCCATGAACACTATGCAAACTAATTTTCACTTCCATTCCCCTAGTGCTGTAGTGTTGACTGAAATAAAGACTGCATGGCTCATTTTCATGACAAAGGCACAGAAAAGCCGTGTGCTTCTTTCTGCCCCCACCACCACCACCCAGCACTTGGCAAGCAACGCAAGTTCAGATCTGATTTATTTTTGAAGTGTTCAGTCCTCAGACGTTTTCCTTTTATGTGAGAGATTTTTCCTTTTAAATGAGAAAGTCTTTTGAAAGAACAGTATTTTAAAACAGCAGCATGTAATAAAAACACACTGCAGTTCTTTGCTTGGCAAGGAAAGCTAGATGGGGAAATGCTTAAGAACATTCAAAGCACTGCTGTTTGCTCCAGCAACTATAGAAGAGTACTTGCAAAACCCTGTATTTTAGACTCAAGAGACTGGACAATGATGAATCAGTAGATGATTTTCTTGCCGTTATTTTTCTTCCAGGTATGTTCAGAAGCACCTGCATGTACTTCGAGCTGCTCCCTAAAAGGGGGGGCTATTCTGGATTTGCTGTGCAGAAGGTAAAACAGTGCCTTCATCGTGCAGCACCATCACCACCCCCCTAGACCCACTTTGCTGATGCACGTACTCCAGTGAGCACATCCACCAGAGCAGCGGACACAGGTGTAGAAGCATCTCTTCACTGGTGACAAAGGACTATTGTGTTTGTGTCACGTCTCTCGGAGCCCCCGGAGGACTCCTGCTCCCATCGCACGGCTCCCCGCCCGGCGGAGAAAGCTCTTCCCCAGGGAAGGTGTGATGCTGGGCACGGCGTACCGCCCCCCCAACCCGCCACTGGGGCCCGACACCCCCCTTCACCACGGCGGGCAGCGCCGTCCGCCGCTCGTCCAAGAGCCCTCGGGGGGCCGGGGACGAGGCCAGCCGGGGCGGGAGGAGGTGGAGAGCTCTGCTGCAAGGCGTCCCGCCGACTCTCGGCCCCCGCAGCCCCCGCATCGGGAGGCGCAGACCCCCACGGCGCGGGGATTCTCTTCGCCTCCAGAGGCCCCCCAGCGAAACTTATTCTGCCCTCACAGGCGGGCTCCCCGCGGCCGCCACCCCCGACGGCACCGGGAGGGTTCCCGTCGCTTACCTGGCAGCTGCCGGGGCGCTCCCTCACGGCGAGCGGCAGCGGGGTGAGCCGCAGCCGAGGCTGCCTCTGCCGCCACCTTCACAGCCCCCTCCCGAGGTGAGCGATGCGCGGGGTGGCGGCGGGGAGCGGACGGGGAGCCGTGACATTTAACCGGGGTGCCTCTCCTCCCTGGCGGGCTGGGCGGACGATCACCGCCCTCCTCTCCGCGGGCAGGCTAAGGCGCAGGACGAAGCCCAGTCCATCCCCGGAGACCCAGACGCAGCGCGCTGCCCGAGCCGCCGGTGGCTCCACTCCTCTCCTGTCCTCTCCTCCCCTTTGGCAATCGCCGCTGCGACTTCCCTGCAGCGGGGGACGAGAGACGCAGCAGCCGCAGCAGGGCAGCGGGGAAGAGGGCTGGGCTGGCCACCTGCCCCTCGGCGGGGCCAGGCGCCAGGGGGACAGCAGCGGGGCGCAGTGGCGAACGGGCGAGGCGCCGGCGGCAGAGCGGGGAGGTAGCGCCAGCTCGAGGTGAGGGCGGGCGGGCGGTGGGGAGGGGAGGAGGGGGCGCGTCTCTGTCAGAGGCGGAGCGGCTCCTTCCGCGCGGCGGCTCACACGCCGGCGAGTCCCGCCGAGGCAGCGGCGGCACCTCGGGGAGGCAGAGCGGTTCGCGGAGTGGCGAGCGAGCGAGCCACCCTTATCCCGATGACTGCTGGGCCGCGGAGAGGCGCCGCGGCCGCGCCGTGGGCAGGCGGCCGCCGGCCTTTATTAATCCTCCCAGCCGTGAGGAGGGAGCGCGTGCGGCGCCCCCACAGCCCCGCAAGAAGCGGTGCCCCCGCCTCCCCGACGCGGGCGGCGGCGTGGTTGATTCCCCCCTCTTCCACCGTTGCTCCCTCCCCGCCGCGTTCCGGGGAGAGCAGGGCGGCTCCGCGGCGCGGAGGTCGGGACGCCCCGGCCCCGCGGGGTGCCGCGGTTCGGGGGTGTGTCTCCTCCGGGAGCGGGGGGGCGCGCGGAGGAGGGGAGACCCGCAAGGCTGGGCGGCCATTTCAAGGGCGGCGCGGTGAGGGGGCGCGGGTTCCCGGCCGGCGGGACGCCCGCGGCTCGCACCGGGACCGTCCCGATGCACGCCCGACGGAGCCGCTCGGGGCCGCTCCGGGCACGCTTCGGAAGAGGCGGCGGGAGATAGGAGGGCACTGTGCGGCGGGGCGAGGGGACGCCGGAGCCTCGGGGAGACCCCGCGGGCGAGGGCTGCCTGGGATCTGGCGACAGGACGGGGGTGCGGCTGCGGAGCGATGACCGTCGTCGTCGGCCTTGTGTTCTGCAGGCGGCCGCGTCCGAGGCTTCCCCGGGACCGTACTGCGGAGAGGACGCTGACTGCGTCGGTGGTGTGAGGGCGTCTCCAGCCTCTTCGTCACTTGCTTGGCTTGCGTTTGCTGATGGAAGAGCTGTTGCTGGCCCCGTTCCTCCCTGCACTTGCCGAAGTTAGTGCTGCGTGGGATTTGGAGCTCCGTACCTCACTCTGCGTTCTTTGTACTCTTTGAAACAGTTGGATTTAACACATTTTTTAATGGCGGACACAGAGTGTCAGGTTTAGTCTGAGACATTTAGGAGCAGCAATACCTGGTCCCTAAGACGATTCTAAGAATAATCTGGGGTGGGGATTTTTGGGTTGTTTTTTGTCGTTGTTGTTGTTTTTTTGTGATTTTTTTTGTTTGTTTGGTTGGTTTGGTTTTTTTTGTTGGTTTTTTTTTTTTTTTTTTGGGAGGGCTTTTTTACTGGCAGCAAGTCCTATCCCTGTCATATCCCTGTCTGTAGATAGCTGTCTGGAGGCTACAATCCTCAGAAACCTGCATGTTCTAAAACGGATGAAAAACTGATTTAGTTGAGTAATTTTCCTTACCGGTAGGAGCAGTGACATGAAAGTTACAAATAATCAAATAGTAACTGTGAGTTGAACAATATTTTGCATTTTCCCTTTGCTTTCATAAGTGTGTGAGTGTGTGCACATATGCAGTTCGCACAGATTTTTTTTAACGTAAGAGGGTGTGAGACAAATGAAAACATACGTAAGCCACACGTGATGGTGGAAGACTTAGAATAAAGGAAACTAACACAAGTAAAACATAGTCCTTTATTCTTTTACCACCAATGTTCAAGATTATGTGTTTGGGTTTTTTGTTTGTTTTTTTTTTTTTTTTCAAACAGCATCCCCAAGCAGTAGCCCTGGTAGCTAGCCATACTTCAGAGATAAGAATACTGTTGTCTTTACAGCAGAAGCTTTTCCATTTAGCTTCTTTAGTCAGTTTCAGGGTTGATTTCAGTCTTCTGTTTCCTCTTGGCTCCTTCTGTGGCATAAGCCACCCAAACAGGGACATGAACATTAATAAATATGAAGTTAAAGAACAGTATCTTGGTGTTGGTCCAACATCTGATCGTGCTATAATACACATAATGCACTCATCAATAAAATGCAGCACTGTTAATCCAGAGTCATGCTAAACATCCACACAGGAGTGCTTTGGTTTATACTACATTATAGGGAAAAACAATAAGAATGAATGATCCGTAATGAAATTACTGAGAATTCCTGCAAAGTTGGGAGAACATAGTAAAATGATACCTGGGTTTATTTTTCATAAAAGAGACAGCCTGTTATCTGGATTCAAAAGCAATTAACTCACTGACTTCTTTGAATTACCCCATTTTTATAAAGCACTGACAACATATTGCAAAGTTCTTTGAACTGGTCTCAAATTGAGTACCCAAACATGTTAATTAATACTGAGTCCCAGCTGTTGCACAGTAGTTAAAAAAAATCCAGAAAACATTTCTGTGATTTCTGTGGAGTGCTAGTAGCACAACTATTCTGAGGAAATTGCACTGATACCCCATAGAGATTTATATATAGACTTTTTAAAATTTGCCAGTTCAGTGTAATTTTTTTGAAGGTATATAAACAGCAAGATAAAGTAGTACATCTACTCTAAGTGTACTATCAACAAGAAATGAGTCTCTTCTGAATACTGCCACTTTTAGCATGTTACTCTAAGTGGAAGACAAGGCAGGATAGCTGTACATAAAGATTGAATTACTACAAACTAAAAATAGGAACAGGAAAATGCTAAGGTTATCACTAGGGCTCTTGGAGTTGTTCTTGAAGAAAGGAGGTGCTACAGATGAAATCTGGAAAAAATTAAAGACTGAAACTTAAGCAGAAGGGATCACCAAAGTGAACTCCATTAAACAATGGAGCAATAGAGAGCTTTAACAACACTCTTGTGTCTCTTCAGTCAAATCTCAGTTGTGGTGACAGGTTCAAAGTATTGTGCATATTTTGTGAATCACAAAAGGTACTTTTGCAGTAAGATGCCCGACCTTAGGGCAGCTTGAGAAGCCTACTATTTCCTTTCACTAGTGGGTATTTGGCTTTCAGAAGAGATGAAACAACACTGCAGAATAAGAAATCAAATGTTTCCATACTACTGGCCATTCAGTCAGGGCTCCATATAAAAATCGAAGCTGATGAGACTTGTTTTTTCCTCTCAGGAGGTATGTGCATAATGCAATCTAAAAGCATTTTCAAAAGTGCCCATTAGCTCTTAATTGGAAAGGGACTTTGAAAGGGTGTTGTACTTCTATTTTGCCATAAGGCCTGAAAAAAGAAGGAAAAAGAAGACCATAACCATACTTTCATTACCTCTGAAAAAGTAGTTCCTATAGAAACAGGAATGATTATGCACTTACCTTCAACTGTACTGTAAATAAAGTCTACAATGCCTCTTCAAAGGAAATTAAATAATCTTTGAATCACAAAAAATTTAACATGAAATATTAAATGTATCAAAATGTTTCAGCTATTTTTAATTGTCTTGTAAAAATTTCCTTCAGTAACTGTTCTGGCCCTCTGAGGTTTCTGTAGCAAGAATTCAAACAGTGATGTTTCTGTTTTATTTGGTATTTACAATAAGTTTCATTCACATTTTTAGCAATGCTTAGCCTTACAAATGTCTGAAGAACTGGGATTGCAATGGTGTTCTCATGGTGGCTTTGCCCCAGTGTTCAGTGTATTATATGGCATCATAGGTTGAATCATGTTTTGGACCTGATAATCTCTGTCTCCAAAGAGAAGAAAATACATTAAAGAAATCTGAAAATAAGAAAAAAATTATTTATCACCCACTTATACATATCAGTATATGGCTTGAAGTTTCCAAAAAGTGCTTTCAATGATAAAGTAAGACAAAAATTCAAATTTTAAGCATTTTCAAAATACATGTTTTTTAAAAATGCTGCTCACATACTGAGTTACAATTTCTTGTGAAAAAATTATATTTTGAAAAATTCATATTCCTATTATAACATAAAATTATTCCTAGCCCTAAAAGAGAAATCAAAAAATAAACTGGTAGTCAAAGGTTTGTTTTGTTGTTTTTTTGGTTTTTTTTTCCTATGGCCTACTTCTTACACTGCCACTAGTTTAATTCAAGATCTAATATCTTCTTAGTTCACCTGCTTTTACATCTACTCCATTTAACTGTTTGAGAAGCAATTTGAGTGGAATTAACAAATGTTCTGCTGAATTAAATATAGTTGGTGGATTTTAAGGAGACTGTGCTTCATTCCTTAAAGCCTGTACTTGCAGTGTCTCTGCATGTAGGGTGAAACCTGGAAACAGTGTCTAAACCTCCAGAATCAAAGGGTGGGCACCATGTGTTGTGTAGCTCTTCTGACTGTGGACAGGGTGTGCTGTCTAGCAGGTGGTGTAGGTAGGAGGAGGTTGCTATCCGTGCCAAAGGCGACATTCTTAGTTTGCTGAATGAGAAAAGGACTTGTGGTAGAAGTACAACTGCTGTGTAATGGGACCCACATTTTTGTGCCAAAATAGATGTAATTTAGAATTTAATGGCATGAGATATTCTCAGGGAGAATCATCAGGATCACATATCTCTGAGCTGAAACCATGATGTTTACCAAAATAGTACCATTCTGCAGTTCTGCATAGCATTTGTACATGCTGCAGTAGCTCCTCAGTGGGAATCCCAGAGTTCCTCCTAACCATGCAAGTTTTCACTGCAGTAGACCACCTGGTTGCCCCAAGCACCACTAAGCGGGGAAGGAAGTTTCATAAAATATGTGTCTTATTGTTAATAAGTTCAGACCAAGTAAATCTGTTCTGCTTTTTTTCATCACAGAGGTGAATATTTCACTATCTTTTACTTTTAGTCACCTATAAAGTGTCTCCATTATGTTAAAAAGTATTTAGCAGACAGAAATCATGTCTTTAGAAACTATGGATCAGAAATTTAATTTTTAGAGGACACCAAATAATTCTGGATAAGAAGCAATCCCTCCTAAATACCAGTAGAAAGATAGCAGTATGACTCCAATGCACAACTACTACACATTTGGCTCCCAAAAGATGGAAGACATGCATTTTTACCTCTCTTATAAGTTGGAAAAGCCAGAATTAGATGCATCTCTGACTGAGCCGGAATGATAAGTTGTCTTCCGTGCTTAATTACCCACCTTTTCTTTCTTTATTCAGAAGGAGTGCTGTAGTAAACTTAAACTCTCACAAAAGCAAAGATACTATGCATTCCTATTCACCTGCTCTGGTTTATAGAAGATGTACATAGAAGATGGAAGAGGGGCATTATGTACTTCCATTTTATTTGAGGATTGCATGAATGTTGGAGGTAGAAAGACTTTGAGAAAAGCACTGAACGCTCTTAAATCACAATCATATGAAATCTAGCTTAAAGAAAAGTAGCTTAAAAGTTTCTTAAATTGTTTTTTTTTATCTTATTCACTGTCACTTTCCTCCAATTTCTATAAGTATGATGTCAATAGCGTTAAGAGGATGTAATTTCCCAGTGTAAAATAGGAGTATCTCACAGGTGAAGCCAACCTGAATTTTCAAAATTAACATTTTCTCTCAGCAATTCTCTCAGCTACAGAACATTTGTACTCTTCTAAAGAACAGGATGTAGCTATTGTTGCTGTTCAAAAGCTGCTGTAAATCACAAAGTGTTATTTAGGGCTAATTTCTAGTACTTGTCATACATGTAAAGCAGGAAGAGAAATAGTTTTGTTGATAGATAAGAAAAAAAATTGACATTGCTTGTCATTTCTTGAAGAAAGGGCAATTTAAGTGGTCAGCCTAAAGCTGATTGTATATATTATTACTTCCAGCATTTACTTAGCATCTTATTATAACTTTTTTTAAATGTTGACATAGTTGATATTTATCCTATCAATACTTTTAATTAAGATACATGTGAACAATTTGAACATGAAGTATGTGCAAGAAAACATGTTTTGAACAAAAGCTAACAGAACTTGCCTTGTACCTGCATGAAAGTCATAAGTATGATGGTAGTTGATGGATAACTGTGTCTGTTTCTAGTATAGTGAAAACAAGGGCTTGAAGCAAGAATTTACAGATACTGTAATGAAATTACAAAATTTGTTTTCCATGTGCTGTGATTTAAGCCAAGCCAGTAACTAAGTACCACACAGCCACTTATTCACTCCCCCAGTCAGCTTGGGGAGAGAATTTGTTGGAGTAGAATTGAGAAAAACTGTGGGTTGGGATAAGGACTGTTTGATAGGTAAATGCACACAAGCAAGGCAAAACAAGGCATTCATTCTCTGCTTTCCATCCTTAGGTGTTCACCTCTAGGAAAGCTGAACTCCATCACATGTACTGGTGACTTGGGCAGACAAATACCTTCACTATGAACGTCCACCACTTCCTCCTTCTTCCCAGTCTTCATGTGCTGAACATGATGCCATGTGCTGTGGTAGACCCTTGGGTCAGCTGTGTCCCCTTCCAGCTCCCTGCACACCCTCAGCCTTCTCACTGGTGGGGTGGGTGAGGAGCTGCAAAGGCCTTGGCTGTGCATGAGCCCTGCTCAGCAATAACGAAAACTCCCTGGTTTATCAACACTAATATAAACATATATTCACAAATATAAACATAACCTCATAGAAGCTACTAAAGAAATTTATCCCAGCCAAACTATCACATAGTTATACCTGAAATAATCTATATTTAACTAAACAGCCATTTTTTGGCAGTATTCACTGAGCAGTATTGACTATATTAATTTTGACAAAATTGTCATGCATTCAAAACAGTTTCTCTAACACAGAGCCATTTCTGCCGTCATCAAGATTCTTCACACGGAGATAGAAAAATTCCAAAACCATCCATGCATTACATAATAATCCCATGCTAGCAACTGCAAGACTCCATTCACTTTGTAAACAAAAGCTCAATCTGGTTTCAGTCCTCCTCACATTTTGGATGGGTACAAACAATAGCATCACCTTTTCCAAGCAGCAGGACTCTTGTCCTAACGTATGAAATAGTCCTGGGGGTTTTTCTGTGGATTAGATGGCAAATTAATGGCCTGTCTACACTTCTCCTATCAAAATCTCACTGTCTCCAAGCAAGGCTGGCTGCCAAATGCTGGTGTGACCCCAGAAATCATCTAGGGTGTTGTGGGTTGAGCAAGGCTATTTTGCAGTCTCTTCTCCCTGGAGGTTAAGCTCACCAAGTTCCAGTGCCTGTATCCTTAGACTGCTTATTTTAGTACTTCGTTTGCAGCTTCTGTTTTCCTTACAATTTGAATGGTTGAAATTCTTAAAACCTTTGGTTAAATTTGTTCTGTGACTCTGTCACTTGACTGTGGTACCAGATGGTGGTAAAGAAAAAATAGACTTTGTTGCAGTTCCATAATCGAAAGCCAGATGGTGATACTAAGGCTGATAAAGAGAAAACAATAATACATCACTGCCCTACTCTACCTCAGATTTTCAGCTATTGCTATCTAACAGAAAATGCATCTGTTCAGACATTACTCATATGTTGTCACGCATCTTTAGAACAAAAATTTTTGAAACTGCCACAGGTGCAAACACTAGCAAACCTTATATTTCCAAAGTATATTACAATAATAACTAAGGTGCAATTTTAAATCCAGTTTTTGCCAGAAGATGAAAATATCTGAGTCTCTTCAACTTAAACTAACATGGTATTTTACGTGGGGAGACAAATTCTTATTACCTGAATAAAACTGATTTAATTTGAGATAACTAGACACCTAGAAGAAATATGCTTTTACTTTTGATGTAGTGAAAGCTGAAATTTTGTCTCTAAATACCTGTAAACAGGTTGAAATATGTTGATATGTGAATGAATGTTATTTGATAAAGAATTTTGAGAGTAATTTTAGAATTAGTAATTTTAGTTGTGCATAGCTGCCAGGTTCAACTGAAATTGCTTTGACAATTATTGTAACAATCTCCTATGAAAATTTATTTGAGTTTATTTTACTGATTTGCTTCCTTTTGTATGAGGAGGTTTTTACTAGTAATCAGTGATTTCCTCACATAAGTAATACAACAACTATAGATGTTACACAAAAGTTGAAATTGGCAGGCAGACAATGAGACAAAAGAAACAAAAATAGAAAAAAAATTACTTATTATTTAGAATTATGTTAATTTTTATAAATAAAATTGCAACTCAAGGACATATATATAATTAATTAACTGCTTTTGTGAAATGATTGGTGTTGTTCTTATTCGCAGAAAGGATATGATCATTGCATATATTTATCTACAAATCTAGCTATTAAAAATGTTACTGATGCGTTAAAATCTGCACCATGTGATTTTAATTTTAATTTTATTTTGTACTGTTAAAAGAACAAAAGGAAGCACTGGTGTCTGATTTTTTGCAATCCTCTGTGATCCAGAACCTGGGATGAAATTCACCCTCACTGAGGTGAGTAGAACCTTTTGGGCAAGAGCTAGCTGCTGGATTTCATTGTTTCTTTGTCACAGCTGTGCTAGCTAATGTTTTAAGTGAAGACACAAAGAAAATTCTTACTGCAAAAGAGCTCCTTCAGTAATTTGGGTAACCTTAACTCCAGTTGCTGAAGTCACATGATGTGCTCATCATGCCAAGAATTTAGAACAAAAAATGAGAACATTTCAAAAATAAACTGCTTGATGAGGATAAGGAGTATTTTTGCTGTGCATCCAATTGCAGTTGAAATAAAGTTTGTACAATATTTAATTATTCAAATATTTGGGCTCATGGTCAAAATTTGAAAGAGAAAGTAGTGTAATTCATTAATAAGATGAGTAGATCTCCCTTAGGAAAAGGGTGTCTGGCTCAAAATTTAGGGATATATCAAAGCATCTTTGACTGGGGCACACAGGTTGCTATCTGCTCTATCTCTGCTATTGGCAGAGACAGCTGAAGAATAGTCACACAAAGAGACCAAGACTGGATTCTGTGGAAGGGCATAGTATTCCTATATAAGCCTTTCCCAAGCAGAAGTTTTCTGATTCAATTGGGAGTTGCAGAAT